TATAATTTATATTTTTGTATTTTTTAAAAAAATATCTTATGTAAAAATTGTTAATTAATTTATTAATTTTTAGAGTATTTTTAATTAATTTATTAATTTTTAGAGTATTTTTTTCCATAGAATGTTCCCTATAAGAAATTATTTGTCGCTGATTATATCAGCTTTATTTATAACAGCGCATGGAAGTAAGCGATGATAATTTATATATTTTTTTCCTTTATTTTTATAGAATTTTAATTAAACTTTATTGATTTTAATTCAGTAATTGATAACATTAATTCTAAGTTCGAACCTCCGAACAACGGCCACTGACATTATATTAAAAAGTGGCCGCTATTCGCAGGTTATTTTGTACGTATTTTTGTTCAAAGTAATTTCCGAAAAAAAAAAACTGGCCGCTGTTGTTATCGAAGTTTCGACTGTATTTATCATTGATATTTTTTATAATTAAATTAAGCGTATATAAGTATAAAGTCGCAAGGCATTTCATTGCGAATTTAAAATAGTTTTTAATATATTTTTAGCTGTAGTTTCATTTTATGTGAGAGAGAATGTCGTTTAGTTTCCTTCCGAATAAATTTTATTGTCGGTTTTACGGTAAAGACGAAATTGTTTTATAGACACTAATTCTGTGTATATGCCGGAAGAATGGGATGAACAACTGAGCGAATTGCTTCGAGAAATTCTGGAAAATCTCAGAAACGAAATGCCTTATGGTATATCATCGATAGACGTTCCCGTACTGGATCCATTAGTAATTCCCAAAATTTCGGTCGATGTCAATGATCACATCGCTAATCTGACTTTACGTATAATTCCATTAAATATCGTTGGATTATCGAAATTTAATATAGAAACTCTCAGGTTAGTCAACGATAATCTTTCTTTATATATTATATTACGTGAACTTAATTAAATTTATAATAATAATAGTAAATTATATCGATTTTATGCGCTTTTTTTAAAACTTTTTTTTTAAACAGCTTTCTTGTTAATACTGTGTATCTAGGCACTGTAGTGTTAAAAATTTATATATAAAATTTAAAAAATTATATAGATAAAACGCACTTAATCTCATATAAATAGTTAAAATTCAATATTAAGAGGAGATGCAATATGAAGAAGAATGCAGGGAGCTCCTTTTGAGACTGAAAAAAGCTAATCACTGTAAGAGATAATTATGAAAACATTATAAAACAGCGCTCAATGTATGCAGATTATAACTATTTCAACGTGATAAAATGATAATTTGTATAAACTGCTTATTATTTTACAATAAGTTTTTTAAAAACTTGTATAGGATCGATATTTTACTCGATTTTTTATCCTTGTTTTTATGAATTAAATAGTCTCGATGTGGTAGGAAATAATTGTTTTACTTGTGTATTTTTTATTTTTAAAATAATAATAATAAATTAATATGTTTTATTTGTTTAAATTAAATAATAATTGCTGTAATTCTCCTGAGTTGGAGTACATCCGCATTAGCATTTAACGCGGGCAGGGCCGGATTTTCACGTAGGGTTGCAGTTTAGGGCCTCGAGTTTTGAGTTTGGTGCCTCATATTTTTCGTGTATCGTTATTTGGTAGAGGGGACGGACTTCTTATGTGTTATAGCTTGGAGCTATAACAAGTCTAAATCCAACCCAAGACAGGAACAAAATATGTGAAAATATTAACTGTAAATATAAAAAAAAAACATAAAAATTAACTGAAATTATTTAAAAGAAGCAAAATATTTAACATATTACTTCTTTTAATAAAGACGTTTGTACAAGATTTTTATTTATTTAAAGTATATTACAGTACATCAATATAATGATAATAATTCCTGAATACAGACACTAACACACTTATTTAATTTTAGTTTCTGGTTGCTATGCCTTGACTCTGGTAGTACACAGCCACCGGTATCAACCGAGTATAACCCACTAAATACTGTATATTAATAATAATAATAATAATAATAATAATAATATTTCTATTAAGATACGATTATTAAATCACATCTTCATGAAAATAACTCAATGTTAATATTCTATGAATAGATATTTTCATCAAATTCATCAAAACAGCATAAATTAAATAAAAAAGTGCATCAAGGGATATCCGTATATAAATGATTAACTGCCAAAATATTTTCATTAAAATTTATTTGATATTTAATTTATATTCTATTATTTTGCTACAATTTTATTAAAAAAAAAGAATAAATATTTCTTCCAGGGCAGACTTAGAAGAGGGTCACGCTAGTTTTGATTTATCTCTTCCAGAAATCAAAGCATCAGGTAAATGTCATATACAAGGTAAATTTATTAAAATATTTCCGATTTTCGGAGATGGTGACTATAGCATCGAGGTGAATAATTTGAAAATATCCGGATACGCTCATCTGGAATTTAATTCTACAGCCAATACTAATTTACGTCTGGATAGATTACAGTTAGATATATTTTTCGATGGAATTCGAGTCAAATTTGACAACTTGATGGGAGGAGGACGTTGGACCAAATCTCTTATGAAAGTTCTAAATGGCATCAGTAGGAATTTATTCCTTCGTTTCAAACCAGAGATTTTGAAAGAATTAAACGGTGCTATTTTAAAATTAACTAATCACGAATTAGGAAAAGGAACGTTAAAAGAATTAATTGAAAACATACCTTTACCTAATCTTTTATTTCTATAATTTGAAATATTTCTTGAAACTTTTATGAAAAATACTAAAAACAAAACTTTAATAGAGAATTAAAATTACACGAAACTTCACTTGTTAAGTGTGATTATTCTTTAATTTTCTTGTATTTTTTATTACTCTTTTTACCGTTACTTCTTTTAGATTACATTTCATATTAGGGTCAACAAGCATTGTCTATTAAAAAAACTCGTAAAGATGATTCTTTAATTACTACACCAAGAATTTTTTCGCGTTGTTAAAGGTGAAAAGCTATAAATGCGCTAAGATTTTGAATTGTCGATCATCATGAACAATCTCCGGTAGCTAGAGTCGTTAAATTTGGTATCCTCTGAGTAATTACACCATCTGGTTGATGTCGCTTACCATTAACGTTCTAATTAAACTAAGACGTTGAATAAACACCAAAACAGGAGGCTAAAAATGAAGAAAATTGCACAATGTGTTATCAGTAGAAGTATCTATTTAAAGAGAACCTAAGTATTCCAAAATTCATTTTTACACGTGTTCCTCGCAATTGTAATATTTATTTAATGTATTCTTAATGATTCTCTTCACAAAATATCAGAATATAATCATGTTTAGGTACATTACATCGACATAAAATATATCACATAAAATTTTATCATTTAGTTTATGCTTAAACGTTAAAAAAAAATACATAATTTAGTATTGTAATTTCGTTTTCGCCGTTTGCTTTTATCTAAAAGTAAATAAAATGTTCTTCTTTTGATTTAATACTTTATTTAAAATAATTATGTTTTAAAATATTTATCAAAGAAAATGAAAGTAGAATTTCCACTTTTCTGTTTTAAAAAGACTAAACTCAATGGAATTTTTTTTTACGGAGTTAAATTAGCGAGTCTTCAAAGTATCGTGGGAATTAAATTTTGATTTTAAAATAAACTTAATATATTAAAAAATTTAAATTAAACTTCAAAACATTTAAATTAATAAATGACACATTTTCAAACATTTTTCTTATAATTTTAATAAATTTTTTAAAGTTTTTAGTAGCAATAAAAAAGTACAAAAATTTTTTTATTATTTTTAATAAAATCTTCTGTGTTTTTGATACTGCAATTTTATAAATATATACACTTCGTTTTTTTTGAAAAATTCGATAATGAATTTTAAGTTATTAATTCCAGAAAATATTTGCCTGAAGTAAGTATTGATCATAAAATTAATCGAAAAAAAGAGAAGAAAAATTCTGGATAAACGAATTCATTAATTTTAGCGTTAAATTTTCCATGTTTTCATGAGGGAAACATTTACTTAAAGGAAACATTTTTGAAAAAGTGAAGTAAATAATATTAAAAAAAATCTTTCCTAAACATGACAAAAATTAGATATTTTGTTATTAAGTAAAGTTAATATGCATATTATAAAGAAAATTTTCATAATAATTTACTTAATGAGTACGTATTTTAAGTTATTACATAAAGGAAAAAAGTTTTTTAGAAAGACTAATAATAATTACTTCCGTTTACATGTTTCCAATTTTTTTGTATTAATAAAAAAAAGTAAAATAATAATAATTTACATTGAAAATAATTCAATAGATGCGTAGCCTTGTGAGAAAATCAATCATCGATTTATTTACACTTATGCAAATGTCTCATTTGAATAGCAAAAATTCACATAATGATGATCCAAGTAACCCTACGCTATTTCTACAATGCGTTAAATAATCAGAGAACAACGAAAGAAATCTATAAATAATTGTAGCACATGATGAAATTCTCACAAAAATTTTGTACATATATTTATAATGTAAATTTTACATTATTTATTCCATAACAGTAAAAATGTCAATATATATAAGCCTGTTTGATCAAGCTAAAAAAGTAAAAAAAAAATTTCTAACTTTTCAAAAAGATTTAAATAATGATCCAACTTTAAAATTTCTATTTGTTTTTAAGTAATAAAAAAATTTAAGAGTTTCACTATAAAATTAAAGTAAATTTTATTTATAAAACTTTGTATCTACAGCACTTAATCGTGTTACTACTTTTTAATGAAGAAACTTTACTATTTTAAAATGAAGAACAGGAATAAATCCATGGCTTAAACGTTTAAAAACGATATTTTTAATGATTTTTACTGTTTAACTACCGTATTTACTTTCCGATTGGGAAAGAAATCCGACTTAATTGTTCTTCTACATATTCTTTGATGTAAGAAGTTACTTTTTCTATTAAAAAATCTTCCATAAGCTTAGTTAATCCCGTTAAAAGCCACTTCATAATCCAGGTTAATGGCCCAAGTCCAGATAACTCTATCCAGATTGTACTCATGTCTATTACTTCCAATGCTGTCAAAACTGGATGAGAACCGGGAGCATTGGATTGCTGAATTTCAATATAAAATGCTACCGAAGCAACGTGACCTCCACATTTTATACTCGGTCCCATTGACATAAATTTGGCGTGGCCTGCAATAAAATATCACTTGTGACTCCAACACATTTATGAATAAATAAAGAGAAAAAATAAAATACTAACCTTTATAAGTTATATTTAAGTTCTGTAAACCCAGATGAGCACCTAAGATGGCTACATTTTCGGTAGCGTTTAAAATACAGTCGCCAGTTCTATGAATGGACGATGCTCCAATTAACAATCCATCGTATAATTTTGCTTCTCCATTCATTTCTATAAACATAACTTTCTTACTGAAATTATAAATATAATCGGGCAATTCCATAGGCTCCAAGTTATGGTGTATAATTTGTTCTTTAACGTTGGCTAAGATTTGATCCATATATTCATTAGCCGTGCTACCTGGTCGAATAGCTTTAATTGGCATCTTATCGAATTCTTTATTGACAATTTTTCGAAGTTCTTCCTTCACTTTACCGGCTAACAGAGGTTGAAACTTGTGGAAAAGTGTCCTACTTAAATCGTTTAATAATTTTATTACTACTCGAACCCAATTTCCATCACCAAGCAAATTTTCAAAATTCATCCTGACTGTTTGGAAATCCATTTTAACTTCCAAACGTTTACCCATTCGAAATTTTTCTTTATCAGTAATGTCTAAAGATGCGGAAGCTGACATCGTTAAATTATCCATCTGCAACCACCAAGATCCGTTTCCTCTCAGAGGAATAATTTTAATAACTTTGCCATTTATGTAATAATACCCAGTTGCGTTCAATTCTAAAACTCGGAAGACAAACGACATATTAAGATGTTTTATACTCGTATCTAAATAATCGACTATGAAATTTGATAGACCATAAACTTTTAAGTCTCGTATAATAATGTGTAGATTAGCTTTTGAATCGTTTACTTTAACATTTATTTCGGGTGGAGAAAATGGTTCCAGTACTGGAATCTTTAATGAAGGCATTCCTTTTATCATACCATTTCTGAAATTGTCAACTATCTTAAGAAGATATTTGTTTAAAGATATTTTATCCAAAATATCGTCCACTGAAAACCATTTCCAAAGATTAAGTTCGGAAACATTCGCATCTGTAAAAGCATAAAAATCATTTTTATTAATTAATTAAAATTATCGCCCTTTTTAATAATAATAATCTTCCTCTGCCATACTATTTAAACATTTTAAAATCTAATTTTTATTTCGTAAAATATATTAAATTAATACATACGATCGTTTACGTCGAATCGATGCTGCGGAATATCTGTAAATTTATTAAAAATTATTAAATTATTTGCAAATTTAATTTTTTAAGCATAATAAAATCTGTAAACACGGCCATTGGCAGAAACAGCCTTTAAACAACGGTCACATTTAAATGTTTCCGAATAAATGCCACTGTTTAAAGGTGTCCGTTGTTGGGAAGTGGCCGTTATTTGAGGTTCGACCGTGATGATATATTCGATCTCTTATTACAAGGGACAAGCATTTATCACTTCTAAACAAACTATTCATCAATAGAAAAGAGAGATTATATTAAATAGATCTTTCACACGTCAACACAATGAACGGTACAATTAATTATTTATTGGAGTTCTAGAATGAACAATTATCATTATATTATATACTAGCTGTTACCCGCGACTTCGTCAGCGGAGGTTTTGCAAGCAAACCCCATTTACATCCAATATTTCAATAACCATAGTAATTGTTATATAACACCTACCGCTGAAGAGAATTGCCGAAAATCAAACGAACTATTTTCAATTTGATCAATTTTCTGAAACGTTTACAATCGTTCTATAATCGAACCAATACGCAATAACAAATTCGAATTTAAAAC